TTGATAATAATAATAATAATAATAATAATAATAATGATAATAATGATAATAATAATAATAATAATAATAATAATAAAACACTAACCAAAATGTTCCACATGTACCAATCCGACACCGGTACCGTCACACACCCCCACAAGTCTCTCAAGTATATCACTGAACAAATATGACAGGCAAGTCAAAACGCTTTGACACTATATCAGAGTTCGAGCACTTCAGTTATTTTACTGGCCAGACTTTATCGTAAGGGTGTAATTAGGCAGTCCACCATGATTGGCCAAGAATTTTTCGTGGCGCAGCGTTACCAACTACGATGCAGCGTTAACTGTGTAAGGAATTTGTGTGCAGTGTTAACTGCTGATTGTTTGATATGACTTTCTTATATGAGGTGACCTTTCTGAATGTACTTTGCGTCAGACATGTTATGTTATGTAATGTTAACTAATGCTATGGTAATTTTCAGTTATTCGCGTGCTCAAAGGGTATGAACCACAACAAACAGACCGGGTGTTCCAGTTATAGCAAGCAGCTTGACAAACTTCCCAACTAAGGTCGCGGATATCGCACTTAAGTATTCCCTATCGCGCTATTTCATCATATTACGGGCAGCGGAACGCGCAAAATATGCGACTGTATCTCACTGCGTAGCAGGGCAAAATTTACGGACGGGAAGTGAAAGACCAAAATTGCCGCACTTAATTAAAGATCTAAATTTTGATTCTTATTTCGTCTTTAAGGCGGCTTGACTTTTAGAGGGACGCACTTTTAAGCGCATCATTTTTTTTGGTTCGTCACAAGGAACACTTCATTGGTTCTGTTTGTGTTATTTTCGTCTTTCACGCTCGCCATATTCGATCGGCACGATGTTCAGATGAGCCCAAAATACAAAAACATGGAATAAAACCCTTATCATGACGGTTTAAGATATGATACGAGCGGACATTTCGCTCATTGCTCGTACTTTTCCTCGCCCTTACGAGACTTAGGGAAAATACCACGCAAGTCGCTAAATATCCGCGCGTATTGCATGTTAAGTGGAGGCGCGGTGGCCTCATGGTTGGTGCGCTCGACTCCGGATCGAGTGGTCCACAGGGTACCCGTTTAGGGCAGGATGTTGGGTAAAGCATTGGGATCCGTTACCTTAATAGACAACGAATCGCTACTGGGGGTCTCTCTAATTCGTCTTTAAAATCGCACAAGTAGTGTTTTGAAGTTTTCTTTTTTGCGTAAATTAGAAATCTTTCAAAACATCTCGAGTTTTTATTGTGCATCAGTGGTCGCTGTTATAAAAGCGATTTCGCTGACTGCTTTTGTAAGGGATATTGTAGATTCTCTACGACTTCCTCTTCCCAGAGACTCCCAATACTAAAATCGACCTGGGTATCATGATCAGTCACAAATGCTATAAGCCAAAGACAATAAATCAAGACATCTACTATGACCAACTATACTTAGCTGTTTACATTATATCTTTCTTTCTTTTTTTGTTTTCAAAGGTTAATTTCTTGTCGTAGATCTCTTAATTAAAGATGAACTTTAGCTTTCGTTTTCATATTCATTTTTCAATTACTTGGATCTACTCAATTGTTAATACCATGTGTGTTGTACTGTTCTATAAAATGCCTACTATCCTTTTTTGCCTTCTTCAAAAGTACGCATTGTGGTTCTTTTCATTAAAATTGATCGGTTATTCGAACTTTTATCGAAAGCCTCAAGAAGATGCTTCCTGCTATACTGGTTCGGCGGTTTTTCGTACTAAGTACTTTCC